CTATCTATCTATCTATCTATCTATCTATCTATCTATCTATCTATCTATCTATCTATCTATCTATCTATCTATCTATCTGTCTGTCTGTCTGTCTGTCTGTCTGTCTGTCTGTCTGTCTGTCTGTCTGTCTGTCTGTCTGTCTGTCTGTCTGTCTGTCTGTCTGTCTGTCTGTCTGTCTGTCTGTCTGTCTGTCTGTCTGTCTGTCTGTCTGTCTGTCTGTCTGTCTGTCTGTCTGTCTGTCTGTCTGTCTGTCTGTCTGTCTGTCTGTCTGTCTGTCTGTCTGTCTGTCTGTCTGTCTGTCTGTCTGTCTGTCTGTCTGTCTGTCTATCTATCTATCTGTCTATCTATCTATCTATCTATCTATCTATCTATCTATCTATCTATCTATCTATCTATCTATCTATCTATCTATCTATCTATCTATCTATCTATCTATCTATCTATATATCTATCTATCTATCGAGCTATCTATCGAGCTATCTATCGAGCTGTCTGCCTGCCTGCCTGCCTGTCTGCCTGTCTGTCTGCCTGTCTGTCTGTCTGTCTGTCTGTCTGTCTGTCTGTCTGTCTGTCTGTCTGTCTGTCTGTCTGTCTGTCTGTCTGTCTGTCTGTCTGTCTGTCTGTCTGTCTGTCTGTCTGTCTGTCTGTCTGTCTGTCTGTCTGTCTGTCTGTCTGTCTGTCTGTCTGTCTGTCTGTCTGTCTGTCTGTCTATGTCTCCATCTATCGACCTATCTGCCTGCCTGCTTGTCTGTCTGTCTGTCTTTTTTGTCTGTCCATTTAGTATTGTTTAAAGTCCTTCCTTTGGTTTTTTGATGAACATGTACTAATGAAGGAGTCAGAGTAAAGCATCAGAGTAAAATACCATAGATTACTCAGGAAGTAATTGAGATTATAAGAGAGCGAGATAGGGCACATAGAAATAAGGACTTCGTAACATATCGGATTTTGTTTAGTAAAGTTCGATACGCCATTCGAAATGGAGAGGAAAAAAAAAGCGATTTTCTTTACAAAATTAGTAACAGATAAAACAAATAGCAAAGATATATATACGGAAGGTAATTAATACCTTGACAAACAGTAATAATACATCGCGTTTGTGGACTTCAAATAATGTTACATCAGACGATTTCAGAAGTTTCTTTTAAACAGATATGGTGCAGTCAAAGGCTTGAATACTACATTATCCATGTGACTTCTTATTGCTGTTCTCGTTTTGTGAGACTAAATGCTCAAATGATATTCCTTCTGACATGCCGCTTGTGTCGGTTACTGAAGTATTTACATATCTCACCAATCTGTAAAAATAAGCAGTAATGCTTCACGTTTAGATGGAATAGGCAAAAGAAGCCTTCCCTGTGCTGCATAAGTGATTTGCGAGTCGTTAACTTGTATGGATAACCAATGTCTCGCCAAAGGCTACTTTCCTACAGCCTTTAAATTTGCCAAAGTATATCCCCATCTTAAATCTGTCCTTTTGGACAGTAGTCTCCCATGTAGTTGCAGACCGCTCTCCCTATAATGAACATGATGACATCGCTAGAAAAACATTCATAAAAACCTTCCAACATCTAGATAACCACAAACTTATCATTGACAACCTGTCAGGATTTGGACCGAAGTATTCGTGTCATGATAGAAAACTGGCATCAAAATACTAACGAAGATACAATATCTGGATGTGTGTTTATAGACATTAAAAAGGCCTTTGACATGACAGGCCATATTATCCTTATTAGAAAACTAGAAATAATAAACTTCAATTGTTATCTGTTAACGTTATTAAAATGTTTTTTTGTTAAATAGGAAACAGGCAGTTTCATATAATAAATCCATATCACAGACTACTGCGGTGAATACTGGAGTACCCCAGGGCTCTATTTTGGCACTCTGTTTTTTGCCATTTATATAAATGAGTTTCCGTTATGTCTGTCGACGACTGAAAGAGCCTAAACGTATAGTATTCTAGAGTAATTTTTACAACTGGAATTAACCCGTGTAGTTTCCAGGAGCTATGCAAACCGCATGCAAATATACTTTAGTATAACAAAATGTATGTTAATATCACCAAGACAAAAGTTATATTTTTTAACTTCACAAAATTCTCTTCAACTCTACATCAGTAACAACCCAGTTGAATGTGTAACTGAGCACACAGCTCTAGGCGTAATTATTTTTATACATTAAACCTTTCCTTTTTAAATGCAAGCTCTGGTCAAACAAACAGCTAAAGAATTATACCAGCTTGCAAAAACTACACTTTCTGGATGAAAACGCTAGAAGGATATATCTTCCATATTCAGACCCATCTAGATTACTACTTCACAATAGGCGATGGTTATCAAAGTTCAGTCATGAAACTGCTTAAATTACTTTTAAAAAATTAATGCACTCTTAGTCAGTAATAATTACGGATGAGACAGTTCCAGTTTACATAAAAATCTTATGTTATTACCGTTACATAAACGACTACTTTTCATTAAGGTCAAAGTTATTCACCAAATCTTATTTTAAAAAATATGCTCCAGTTTACCTTTGGTCATTCTCTAAGTATAGTGGGCGACATAGCAAACGCCTAAACATATTACAGATCCCTAAACGTAACAAAAAGACTTGTATAAATCTTACTTGACGAACTCTGCAGCTCATCTGTGGAACTAACTTCTACAGCCAATCAAAAATAAAAACAATCCCTATCAAAACAGTTGCAAGCTTTTTTAATATGATCTCACTACAGACTACAAACTCCTTGGAAGTGTCCTAAGAATACTGTACATTTCCATCAATGTTTAATAAGTTTACTAGTATAATTTTTTCAAAATGCAAGCATACTTTGAGCACATTGTTACTAAGATGTTATTCATGATGTCTATTATTTTTATCAACTAAAACGATATGTGCATGAAAAATGTGTGCATCGGGTGAGGCGAGAAGGGCCGAATGCAAGACAGGATTTCGTGTCCAGTTCTTAACTCTTTGAAAATAAAGTTTGTTCGTTCGTTTTTGTTCTATCTGTCAATTTATCTAATGTATGTCTGTCATTCTGTATGTTTGTCTGTGTATATGCGTACTTACGGGATTGGGCTGCGGGGTAGACTCAAGCCCTTATAATTTCTAGCAGCAGGATACAATGACGCGAGCCTTGTTTAAGTGCACAATAATAATAATTTGTATTATCATGACTTTCTTTCTAAACAAAATTGTTGCATTCACTAAAGTAGTATCTAAAAAGTTTAAGGTATTCCCCACAAAGTGTCTGTGACAGTAACTTGGAAACAAAGGATGCGTTAAAAGGTGCCGGTACTACGCACTATTGTGTAACACCAGAAAAACAGTTTTATTATAATTATCATTACAAGTGCTGAATGGCCAAAAGGTTAATATTATTTTTGAAATATGAGTTTTCAAAAAATAATAAAACGATAACGTCTATACTATGGTTGCTGACGCAGGGCACTCTTGCAAATTTTCTAGTTGGGATAAGGGCCTCAGTGCCTCATCTAAAAACTGAGGTGGGAGACGCCGCTGGTTTCATATGTAATCATGCTGACTTCTGGACTCATATAAAACTATTTCGCCGATTCCATAATTCTGTTGAGTGGTTAGTAATATGTTACATGAACGGTCAAAACGTTTTGTGTATATTAATATTATGGCGGGAAATACGCTTCAAAACCTAGTAAGACCTGACAATATTAATGCTGCAAAGAAGTCAGGCCAAGGAAGAGCAGTAGACCCAGGCATGCTCAGATTGACGTCACACACAGCTGAGGATAGCCACAACTCTTGTCGCACGAAACAATGTACGCCACTGGGCTTGTCACACGTAAAATGAGACCACAATTGTAATCGAGACTGTTGTCGAGTGGTCATGCGTATGAGTACATTTGCTTCTGCGGTGAGGTGTCTCCGTCAGTTGGTGATGACACGTTCGATTCCAGACAATGTAAATATAGGTTTCAATTTTTATTTTGTCTTATGTGTCCTTGAGTATCTCTACTTCTTTCTGTAAGGGCCCATTAGTTCTTGTCTTTTTTTATATATATATTTGTTTTCAACATGGTTGCACGTGGTCACACTTTTATTTGTGTGCGTGTGTGCGCGCGTGTGTATGTGTCACGCGTTAGCAACAGCAACGGGTGAAGAAACAAAACTAGTACTAGAATTACTTCAGTGTAATGATAAGGGAAAACGAAATACAAACCACATCCAAGATACTGAATCACGCGAAAATGATGAACCCTGGAAGATGGTCGATAACCATGGTTATCTTCAAGCCACGCGATGATGATGATCTCTAGAACATAACTTGCAAACCGCGTGTTGTGGCCGAGACAACCACAGTTATCGACAAACCACGTGATGATGATGATTCGCAGAACATAACTTGCAAACCGCGTACTGTGGTCCAGATAACGACCAGGCGAATGGGCAACCGGGAAACCAAACATATCGGGTGATGCTGGAATCACGTGACTGCCGGCAACCCAGGTAACCTCTATGTACTCGACTATTTATAATCGATCACATGATTCTTAGCATAACACGTATTTTTGTTCTTAAACTAAGGCTCGGGAGGTAACCTACGTCTTATTACCAGTTTTTATAAATACATTTTGCATCAAACATACAATTATATTTCCAGTTTGTTGCGAATGCATATCGTATTCGTTTGGTCCTACAGAATAGTTGGTAATCGTGTAAATGTAGATCCAGCTATTGTCACCTGTGAGAGCCACAAACAGGAAGGAATAATTGGGTCAACATAGGTAGCTTCGCGCAGCACGACCTTTTTTTTAGCGGCTTCGTCAAGCGAGGCAGAGCAGTGCCCTTATTTCTGCTGGAACACTTTTTTGATGGTGTCATTTGTCTTGTGAGTACTCGTTTCACTTGGAAGGAATCAACAACGGTGTTGTGGTAATCCTACCAGCTTGATAATTTATTAGGAAATAATAATTCAGTTTCGTGACGGATACGGCAAGACAACAGGAGACAAACGAATTATGGATCTTATTCGCCTGTTGGCGGATCCAGCTCCGGTGGCTAGACTACAGCGCTTTTGTGGTGTTGAATACGATTCACCAATTACCTGCGACCAACATACGCAAACAAGGAAAGTGTCAATCGGTTCATCTGACCCCGTAAAAGAGGCTCAGGCATCGATTACACCGCCAGAAAACGGATGTAAAGACAGTGCTGAAGTTCACAATGGTGACACTAATTGTATGAATATCTATCAAGAATATGATTACACAAACGCCCAGGAGCCAAATAATAATTTTTATAAAAAGAATAGACGTAATTATTTAAATTCTGAAGACGAGCAAACAAAGTGCAAGTCACGGACCTACGCCCAGACCAACGGCTATCATGTTATTTGTCAGGACAGTAAACATTACAACGGTGTTAGCAAAACAGATTGTAGCAACGGATCTCTTGGTGAGTTTCCTAAAGCCGTCGATGAAAGTATACCAGAGGAGACTAATAACCGGATAGATAGAGTTAATACCCCCACAGTGCGGATCAAATACAAGTCGCTGTTTTATTTGGCACGTTTTGGAGCATTTCTTGGACATGAATTGTTTTATCTGACGTTTTTTCCTTTCTTGATATGGAACCTGGATTCCCTTGTTGTCAGACAGGTAATGTTTATTTTATGTAATCTTTATTATTTCAGTAGTATCTTTGCGTGTGTGCTTACCTTAATAAACCCCGACAAGTTTACTTTAGAATAATACCCGCCCGACTCCCTTTTTCACACCAGCATAATTTAAGGAAAGAATAATTACAGCAAAGACACACACAATAGTTTGCACAATTTATGTCCGGGATATTTTGCTGTATCTGCAAACTACACAAACAATTACATAAATGAAGCAAGGGATCCTTTATAACTGAAATACATACAAATTCATCAACAATCAAACGCAACGGCCTGTTTTTTTTTTTTTTTTACGTATCCAGAAACCATGAGTTGTAAACCCTTTGGCTCGGTACTATGGATATCGCAACCCTTCGGCATTGATTCCATTATAGGTACCGTTAATCTGGGAGAAATGTGGCTTTTCTGCCTACCCCCGGGAGTGAACCCGGACCACAAGGAGTTCGTCACCCGGCCGCCGCGAAAATCAGGTTTAACCAACTTCGCTAGAGAGCCGGGCCAACGGCCTGTTTTAGCAGGGCAGCTGCAATGTAAAAAGTATGCCTTTCTGTTTCCAAAGTTCAGGACGGAGCTAATGAATCGTGGCGGCTTCAGTAAATCTGACTGTTCTACCATTGGTTGACATGTTAAGGTTTTAGAATGCCGTATCCTTGGTTACAGTGTGTCCAAAACAAAACAATAATTGTGATGACACCCAGACAGGAGCGTCACGAAGTTATCAATGGGTGGGGGGAGGGGGGTGCTGAAAGACAACCCCTTCAAATGACCCTCTAATACAAAATTGAGAAAACTTTGAGGAGGCAAGCTCAGGTCAATCCCAAAGCGTGCCCTCTATGTCATATAGGCAAAAACTGGGGGGCGCTAGGATCACTCCCCCCCCCCCCCCACCCAAAAAAAACATTACGTAAGAAAACATTAGGGGTTGGAGAAGATATCGCAGACCACGCCCTCGCCACCTTTTAAATGTTCTAGGGAAATAATTGTGGGAAAAAAAGGGTGGGGGGGGGGAAGGGTATTCAGATGCTTGAGTTTCCCCTACCCCACCCTCAACAAATATGGGGAGGGGGGAGGAGGAGAGCAGTTAACCGAATACATAAATTATCTTTTGAATGGATTGTTTATGCATTCCATATTTTTTTCAAGTAAATTATCATATTTATTTGCCATTCAGCACATTATTGTATCATTTCTGAACAGCAAATAACTATAAAAATAAAACTGTACAATGTGTGTGTGTGTGTGTGTGTGTGTGTGTGTGTGTGTGTGTCTACAGTAATTTTGAAACTACATTTCTATATATTGTTACAAAGGGCCTCTTAAACTTTGTAGACAACACCCCTCCCCCCCCCCCCCCCCCCCCCCACACTTTTCTCCATTTTCTATTGGTTGAATTTTTTAAATAAACCGCCTTCAGCACATTGGTTACGCTTATTACCTGCGAGGGGGGAGGCGGGGGGGGGGATAATTTAAGGGACCTAATTCCTAATGTACGGTCGGCTCTCATACCGTTATCGAAACCAACGCAAGACGGTCTGCTGCCTAATCGTCTGCAGCTGGGATCGAACCCGACACCCCAGCATTACGAAGTGCGTTCACAACGCTCAAGCCACGGACGCCAACATTGGTGTAGTTAGCTAATTTGGAACACATTCTACGAACCTAAACTTCTTATCTATCAACAGCGTGTGGCTTCATGCGTCCGCTTTTGGCGTGAGTGCGGGAGATTAGACCCGTTAGGAACTGACTGTAAACCGCAACGTAGCATGCCAAAGAAGAAGAAGAAAATATAGGAAGCAAGTGAATAAGAAAAAGAAGAAGTGAAGAAGAAGAAGAAAAAAAGATGCTGTTATTAGTCAGATTTGGAAACATATGAATAACGAAGGATTATCTATTATATAAGTTTAACATAAATGTAAGCTTCTAAGAAGATAAGCTGTTGAACATTAAATCAAAATCCAAGAAAATTAGCTGTGTATTGATAGTTTGAACACACACGTTCATTACCCCGTGGGAAATCCACGCTTGCGGACACCAGCAATATTAAATCTTCAAAAATGTTTAGTAATCCTGTGTATGGATGGTTCCCATGACAACCAACGGAGAGACTATGTATCTTGTCAACCCCGTGTCTGGTGCATTTTTAAGATCAGCTAGCCTCCAACATGGCGTAATTTGCCGTTCATGTATTTGTCATTATTTCAGTCACAGCAGATTTCTGAGCAGATATCCAATGAGGTATGAACTACTATGAACAGCATCGGTGTGTTACTTTTAAGAGGTGAATTACGCAATGGTTGTGACGTGTTTGGGAAGCCAGGTTTCATTTACATGTTGGGACCTAATGTACAAAACAAAAAGACAACACCTATGATGGGTGGTTAGAAATGAAAGGGAGGAGCCAGGTACACGTCAGCGTTGCTCTTGACATTTTAAAATGATTCAGAATTAATCAGCTGTGAAAATGTCCGTATACTTTGGCTTACAAATAACACGTAACGGATGAACGCCCTAGGCTAAATTGTATGTATGGACAAACTGAAAGCCGTCAACAAAATAACATTGTGACATTGGTGACATGGTCTCCATTCACAAAACGATAACATTTTATCTTCACGCTCTATTTTTTCCCCCAACAATCTGCGTAATGATTAGTAATAATCATCTTCACAAACCACTTCTGACGTTAAGCGGCGTTGGGAGGAATAATTTGCGATCCATTGTGTGATTGGCATGCCGTGAAGTCCTAGAGTGTCTTTAATATTGTCGATCCATGTTTTTCGCGGCCGTCCCCTTACTCTTGTAGCTGATCTTCTGGGATGTAGTGCTTGTGATGGTATTTGATCTTGCTGCATTGTAACGAAATGGCTAAATCACTTGATCTGCTGTATCTCGATGAATCTAGTACAAGGTGTCGTTCCCACAATTTGACTGATAGTTTCATTATTCACTCAATCTTGGATTTGGTGTAGTCGCTTTTTTCTTCGTTCAGACCTTTCTGTCTTTTCAGGGAAAAGTTTCGGTTCTCCTTGCAACTACGGCCACATATTGGGGGAGTACGCCGGAGTTCAGTCCCCTGGCCGCATTGCAATTACGGAATGGAGAAGGAACGAATCACACAACAACCTAACCCTAACTCTATGATGACAGCAGTGCACTGCACCCAACCCTAACCCTACCAGAACCCTAACCCAAACCCTAACCCAAACCCTAAACCTAAACCCTAACCCTATGATGACAGCAGTGCACTGCACGCTGTCTATCGCTCACGCTGTCTATCGCCAATACACACAAATTACGTCATTTGTTTCGTTCCCTCTTTTCCACTCCGTAATTGCAATGCGGCAAGGGGACTGAACTCCGGCGTACTCCCCCAATATGCGGCCGTAGTTGCAAGGAGAGCCAAAGGCTCGCGCGTGCTAAAGGGAGCCATGTAAATCTCAACACATAAGTAAGTAAAGGACGCCTTTTCATGCCTTTTAGGCTTGTTGGGTATATAGGGCTAGACCTATATTTAATATACCAAACAGCACTTGATAGGTGATGCGTTCAGCATAACGCCGACCGCCACTACTTCCCAGTACTGTACTTGGTACCCCCATAAGGCTGGGTCGACCTGAGAGGCAAGGTCATTTTTGAAGAAAAAAAAGTATGCCTTTTCTTCTTTTTCTTCTTCTTTTTCTTCTTCTTCTTCTTCTTTTTCTTCTTCTTCTTCTTCTTCTTCTTCTTCTTCTTCTTCTTCTTCTTCTTCTTCTTCTTCTTCTTCTTCTTCTTCTTCTTCTTCTTCTTCTTCTTCTTCTCCTCCTCCTCCTCCTCCTCCTCCTTCTCCTTCTTCTTCTTCTTCTTCTTCTTCTTCTTCTTCTTCTTCTTCTTCTTCTTCTTCTTCTTCTTCTTCTTCTTCTTCTTCTTCTTCTTCTTCTTCTTCTTCTTCTTCTTCGTCTTCTTCTTCTTCTTATTCTTCTTATTCTTTTTCTTCTTCTTCTTTTTCCCCCTCTCTCACATCTAGTTATGATCTGCCATTCAGCATCGGATTCTGAAGTGACATTGTGCTATTTGTGTTATCACTTCTGATGGCTATAGTATGCTTTTAATGCTGAGACAGCAGTCTGTCAATCTTTCCACAAGGGGCTGGGATGAACATTCTGTGTGTTTTCAGATGGCACAGGAGCGGAGCAATTATGGGGTGACCTGTTTGCTATGAAGCTGAAACTAACATTAGCAGTGGCATCGGGGGTCAAGCTTTAGTATGTGCTATGTAGATAATGGTATTTACGACCTTGGATAATCCATCCATCCATTGTTTGCGTGGTCAACCTCTAGGTCTATTTCAATTGTCTCTAAGTTATATGTGACTGTGCTCTTTGTGGTGGACTATCTGGTGGTAGTTTTGTCAAATTTCCAAACCACTGATTCTGTTGTTTCTTAAGCATGCAGTTTATTGCTGGTTCCAACCTAACTTGCTTCCTGCTATCGTCATTTCTGATCCAGTCTATTCCTAGTCCTTGAATGAAAAGGTCGACCACTTTCAGACTGCTGCTAGCTAGCCGAGGCTGCTAACAGTCTCCGCCTATATTTGTGGTCTGGGTTATTTGTGTCACTTTCGGGACTAAATTCTAGTATTGCGCCATTTCTGGGCTTGGTGCTTCCATCCGGTTCCGACCGCTCGTCCTGCACCGTTGTTAGCTGTTCGTTTCTTTCCTCTTCTTATCTGGTATCTCCTCTTGGTGTCATCTCTCTCTGATTTGGCCAGGCGTATCTCGTAGGAGAGCGAGCTTTTCCACACAACGTCCTTTGGACCACCATTTATAGTTTTAAAATTGTGAGTATTTTATTTTTGCCGAAAATTACTGAAAACCGTTTTTGATTTTGTTCTGATTCAGTCTGTTCTGGCTACATTTATTGTTCTTTATAGACATTTAATTTATGTTGTTTCGATGTTTCTTTTTCATAAAGTTGTTAATGTCCACATTATCTACTTATAAG